ACAGTAACAACAGTAACAGTGACAACAGTGACAGTAACAAAAGTAACGATAACAACAGTAACAGTGACAGTAATAACAGTGACAGTAACAGTAACAACAGTAACAACAGTAACGGTAACAACAGTGACAGTAACAACAGTAACGGTAACAACAGTAACAGTGACAACAGTAACAGTGACAACAGTGACAGTAACAACAGTAACGGTAACGGTAACAACAGTAACAGTGACAGTAACAACAGTAACAGTGACAACAGTGACAGTAATAACAGTAACGGTAACAACAGTAACAGTGACAACAGTGACTGTAACAACAGTAACAGTGACAACAGTGACTGTAACAACAGTAACAGTGACAACAGTGACTGTAACAACAGTAACAGTGACAACAGTGACTGTAACAACAGTAACAGTGACAACAGTGACTGTAACAACAGTAACAGTGACAACAGTGACAGTAATAACAGTAACGGTAACAACAGTAACAGTAACAACAGTAACAGTGACAACAGTGACAGTAACAACAGTAACAGTGACAGTATGTTGTGTTTTGTGTTTGTGTGATTGACTTTATTTAAGGTGTGACTCAGGTCAGAGGCCGTGACAGAACTGGTTTCACATTCCTGAAATATTTCTTATCAATGAGGAGAAGAGGAGGAGCTATTTTAAAAGAGGGCAGGGCCAAGTGGTGGTGGGAGGAGCTACACAAACAGAGGAGTGGCTCACAGACCCAACCTCAGAGAGAAACCAGGGATCTTTAGCTTGCATGGACCCTGCAGCTGTTTGTCTACAGCGGCCCCCTGTGGTCAGTTTGGGTCACTGAAGGATTGACTTTGGTTTGTTGAACTCCATTCACTGATTTTCTCTCTGAGGTTTATTTCAGGGGAGTCAGTGGTTTCTGAACTTTGTGTCTGGTGAAGGTGACCTGTAACCAGATCAGTAGCACATCATCGTCTCCCCCCCCCGGTCTCCCCCCCATCTCCCCCCTGACTCCTCCCCCCCACACAGACACACAGTTATTAGCTGAAGCCTCCTGAGTTTTGTCCCACATCAGTGTGTGTGCGTGTGTGAACAAGAGAGAGAGAGAGGGATAGAGAGAGAGGGAGAGAGAGAACCACTGCAGAGAAAGACAGATTCAGGAGGAGGACCGACAGAGAGAGGACGACGTGAGGGAGGGGAGATAAACAGGACAGTGAGAAGACTGATAGAATACATGCAGGGAGAGAGAGAGAGAGAGAGAGAGGGGAGATTAGAATTACTGCTGAGTGGGAGGAGGAGGAGGAGGAGGAGGAAGGATGCAGTGGTGAAGAGGAGAGGAAGCTGAGGACAGGACGCCTGTGTCAAAGATGTTTGACAGGACGAAGACTGACGACCGCAGATTTTAACCTGATTGGCTGACAGGTGGCTGCTGCAGTGGCCAATCCCATGGCCTGGTAGAGTGTGTGTGTGTGTGTGTGTGTGTTTCTTCTCCTCCTCAGATGATGGGGAACAGCTGTGATCGAGGTATCTCCTCTCTCTCTCTCTCTCTCTCTCTCTCTCTGTCATGTGACCCACTGGTCTTTAAACTCACTGCTACATGTTTGCTTTAACTTTATGTTGGACCATCACGTCACTGTGTGTGTGTGTGTGTGTGTTTCTGCTGCTGAAACCTGATCCACCAGAATCTGCTGCAGCTCCATCCACTGATGCAGATGAGAACTGTGTGTGTGTGTGTGTGTGTGTGTTGTACCAAAGTTTGTCTAAGACTCTGCCTCACTGTGCTGTGAGCGCCCTCTGCTGTTTAGGACCAGCCTGAGTCACGTGACCCTGTCAGCCGTAGTTGACTTTTGACCTTTGAACCCTTTAGTTTTTGTTCCACTTGTTTTTCTGTTTGTTGTTCAATCACCGCTGCCTCATCCTCACTGACACAAACTGACCACAGGGGGCAGCATTGGACCACAGCAGCAGCTGTGTTTTTAGCTCACACCTGTTCTTGGGGCAGTGGTGGTTTCAGGTTGGAGGTTCTCCTCTGGGGGGAACGTTGAGTAGTGGAGGAGGTCCTGAGGAGGTGTGAGCAGGTTGATGGTCCAGGACCTTCTCATGCCTGAGCAGAGAGCTGGGCTGGGGGTGTGGGGGTGGAAACGTGGTGGTGGTGCAGATGAGACACCTCTCTGTGTCTTTTGGCAGAAGCGTCTTCAGAGCGCTCTCCAAGGAGGAGGAGCATCTCTGGTCTTGGAGCTTCAGAGAAGAACGTGGCCACTGAACACCAAACATCTTCACCCTTTAAAGTTCCGGTGAGAAAAAAAGTTCTCTTTCAGTTCCTGCTTCAAGAACTCACTCCAAGTTACTGCAGTCTTTATTGAACTTAGTCTCCTCCTCTTCCTCCTCCTCTTCCTCTTCCTCTTTCTCCTCCTCTTCCTCCTCCTCATGTTTGTTCTCCAGGGTTTTTTCAGCAAACGTCTCAAAGGTTCCATCAAGAGAACCAGGAGTCAAACCAAACTGGACAGAAACACCAGTTTCAAGCTGTCATCGCTGAGGCCGCCAGAGCCCGACAGGTGACCTCTGACCTCTGACCTCTGAGTGTGCATGTGTGTTGGTGAGAGTGGCTGTTTATAACCCTGGTGTTTGTGGAACCAAACCGTCAGTGTCCAGCAGAGGGCCCTGCTGCACATGACATGTTAATCATACACAGGTG